TCAGACTTCTGCGACGGTACCGCAAAGTATGCACTTTCGTGCTGCGGCAATACTGCACTGACGCGTCTGGCTTGTTCAGCGCGTACACAGGATACATCGACATCGAAGCGAGGCACTTGTTCTTCTACTTCTTCGAAAGCAGACGCGACCCCGATCGTGATGACGTGCTCCTCTGGACCAACGGTGGACCTGGCGGGTCGTCCTCTACCGGTCTGTTTATGGAGCTCGGTCCCTGCAGGGTTACCAGTCCCACGAATATCTCTTTCAATCCCTATTCGTGGAATGAGTACTCCAATATATTCTTCATCGACCAGCCAATTGGTGTCGGTTTCTCGTATGCTGACCATGGAGAGACTGTGGTAAGTCAAGATAGTACATTATAATGAGCTAACTTGAACACCTGCATGTAGAGCACTACCGAAGAGGCTGCGAAGGATGTCGCTGCTTTTGTGGCAATCTTCTTTGAACATTTCAACAAGTTCAAAGGCAGAGGCTTTCATCTTACTGGCGAGTCTTATGGAGTAAGCTTGTGTATATTGTAGACTGCGAAGAGCAGCTGACACATATTTGGCCTTATAGGGTCGCTACCTCCCCCTATTTGGTTCCGCGATTTATGAACAAAACGCCAGGTTATCGGACGCAGGTTTAACACCTATCAACCTGAAGTCTGTCATGATTGGTAGGCAGACGTGCATCCTTCGAGTTAACACCAAGTCACCTACCCCTCAATACACACAGGAAATGGATGTACTGACTGGCTTTCAATGTACAAGGGGCATTACGAGGTTCAATGCACTGGCGTGATTACCATGCCTGTGCAAAGCATAGGGTATTGCCCATCTCCCTGCTCTTCGTTCTCTCTGACGACTTCCTACCTACAGAACTTGTATCGATATGAGACTGCGTGTACGTCATCATTTATCCATCTTATGTCTCAGCGACTGAAATGACATCTCACAGCTCCCGCGCTGTGAGAAGTGGTACAAGGAAGCCTGTATCGACCAGAAAGATAGTATCAGTTGTTCAGCTGCGAGTGCGTTCTGCGCGGAATCCATCATGACTCGCATCATGGAAACAGGTACGAAACTTACGCCCACGATAATGCGCGACCTAATAGAGACATCAGGATTCAACCCCCACGATCTCACAAAGACATGGTATGTCCAACAGTGACTTACATTACTGGCATGACCGTTAACACAAATGTTCAGTGACACGAGCCAGCTGTGCTATCAGATTATGTAGTGCGTCTACCCTTGCTTCGCGCCAGACCGACACCCTCTGACCGCACATCCTAGTGATATCGAGAAGTACCTAAATCAGAAGAGCGTACGCGAGCTCATCGGCGCCGACCCGGCGGTGAACTATACCGGCTACTCCCGCACCGTCGAACGCGCGTTCTGGAGCGCGCTCGACCCACAGTTCCCCACGCAATACTACATCGCGGCGCTCCTGGAGCGCGGCGTGCGCGTGCTGCTGTACGTCGGCGCGAATGACTTTGTCTGTAACTGGGTGAGCCAGCGTTGCTCGTGATAGCGAGGGTTCGAGCTGACGAGGCGCCTCTGTCTAGCGCGGCAATGAAGAGATGTCGCTGGCTCTGGAGTGGACCGGACAGGCAGCGTTCAAGAGCCAGCCCCTTAGAGAGTGGCATGTGAACGGCCACGTCGCGGGTCTTACCCGCAGCGAGGGAAACTTTGCGTTTACGACTATCAACGGTGCGGGACACATGGTAAGTATCCGCAGCCAGAAGCGTTGCACGCTTTCTCATGTGCTCTTTTCGCACATCTAGGCGCCATACGATATGCCGGTAGAATCGCTAGAGCTGCTTCGGAGGTGGCTGAACGAGGAAGAGTTCTGAACGTTCTTGCGGCGAACACAACTCCAGAGCCAAATAGCAAGACTTGTTCTCAGATGTTTCTGTACCTGAGGCCGGAGACCCGAAATCGCTCAGGTTCTAGGTTTCAAAACAATTGTGTACAGTCTGTCACAAAGACACTAGCCACAGGGCTTTCTCGGGCGCAGGTCTCAGAGCTTCTCAGAGTTCGTCATCTGCCAGCCAACGTTTGACTAGCTCCAGAGACTCCTCGCCCTTGTCATATGGTGCCTGCCACAGCACGTGAGTCCACAACTAGCCATGGCCAGACACAATAAGACGTACCATGTGTCCAGCGCCATGAATAGTGGCAAAGGTCAAGGGGCCCGAGCTGCGGGTGACGCCGGCGGCGCGGCCGCCGACCTGCCAGTCCCGAAGCGGCTTAGAAGCAAATGCTTTCTTGCCGGTCCACTCAAGATTCAAAGTCATTTGTTCGTTCCCGACCTGTATAGGTCTTGTTAGCAGATATGGAAGGTCACAGTGTGCGACATACCCAGTTACATATCCAGTCGTTCTCACCAACGTAAATGAGCACCTTGACGCCACGTTCGAGCAGAGCCTCAATGTAGTAGTCAGCAGGGAAGATGCTGTCCAGGGCAGATCTGAAGCGGTAAGCGACGTCATTGCTGCACGACGAGAAATTGCCTTGTACGCTGTGGTCTACGCCCAAAGTCTTGCGGACATCAATGCGGTCGAGAAATGAGCTAATCTTCCTGAAAGAAAAATAAAATAAAATCGTTAGAACTTGCACCGTGGATCACTAGCAAACAAGACACTTACTTTGTTACGGGGTAGCAGAGTGAATCGCTCAATTGGTCTGCGTTGCTACACAGAGAGTAGTTCAACACGACGTTTGGCACCAAAAAGCTGAACAATGACACACCATGGCTTCGTCAAGTCGTAGGGGTTACGTTCTGCAGTCCAGAATGATGATTCAATATAGTCTCCGCAAAAGGAGAGAGCTGCTTGACAGTTGATTGCATCGGTGGTATCGTAGCAATTCTCGTTTAACCACTTCTCGCAACGGTATAGCTATCAAGATGTCAGTCAGTGGAGGATGTCAAGTGGACCAGACGAAATAAATACCGCTTGCTTAGTTCCAACGCACGAACTACAGTCACAGGTTCAGATCTGCTCTCAGGCGAAGTGCGCTGTCTTACCTGATATCGACCACAGGGTCAACGGTCTTGGGCTGACACTGCATCTCGTAGTACGATGGAATCATTGTCTTCCAATCAGTGCAGCCATTTCCTGACAATTCACAATGAGATGCGACTAGCTTTGTCCAGCGTAAGCACCTACCTATCATTACAGACTTCAAGTTTATCGGCGCCATGCCGGCCGCGACTAACTTGGAATTCTGGTCATACACGGCAGAGGCGTAGGTTGGAATATAGCGCCCCTGAGAGCGAGGATTGTGAGCTCCGAGAAACGAAAGACAAACAGTATGACGTACTCCGTATGACTCTCCTG